TCAGGAGTGCTTTGTTAAACGCTTAAACGTTAGCGTTTCATCTTATGAATAACATTTCTTGGCACCTATTAGAAATAAAAGATTATGAAGAGAATCAGTTAGTGAAGAAAGAAATAAGCACCATATATAATTATAATTTTTTATAGCATATTACGATATTATATTATCAATGGCTAGAGATCGAGCACCGAGAATTGCGAACTTATCCCGATATCAACGGAAACGCAAAAATGATATGGAACACTGTTATGCGACTCAAAATATTCCTACCTTGGAAGCTGTATTATGCTTGAATCTGAAATGCTTCGACCAGTGTTTGTTTGTGCAAATGTACGAATGCAAATTAAACGCCGACCTCAAGCCTTATGGTTTTCCATAAGCTGCAAACTACGCAATGCAGCATAGAAGGATGTATGTTGTGAATGGCAAGAAGAAATAAAATAATCAAAGAATTAATTAGACCACTAGCAAATGTCTCCGATATCATTGCAATAATGGAGACGTTGCAACGGCAAAACAATGGACATGTTGCAAGATGAACCGATCATCGCTAAATCCAAGAAACATTACATTTGGCTCCGAGAGACCGTACACTTCCTGTGGAAAGATCTCCAAATCGATGGCGGCATGTGCTGAGAAAGTTTGTTGGACCCGTAGAATTTCAGTGAAAAGTTTGTGGCAGAACCTCTGAAACCTTGATACTGCAGTGGATCGATAAAAGCTAATGCTGTTGTTGATAATGATTATCATAATCTGAGCTTTCCTGATAAACTTTATGGACTGCACTGCCAAAGATTGTGTAAAAGATTGTTACAGAGCCAAGGGAACGTATTTTTACTGCTACATGAACGAACAGGGAACAGACTGGTTCCGATGAGAGTTTCATCGTCACCTTGCAGAGAATGTCGGTTCATAACATGATAAATAATACCGCAGCGCATATTTCGGTATCAGCCGACAGCTAAAATGACATCATTAGTCAGCTTATCAACTAGAGGAGCCAAAGTCAGTTGCAAGCCTAATTGGTTCGTCAACTCATACCGATTAGGATTACATGACCAATGACCTCATTGTGTCCGAGAACCAGTTTCATAGCCTGTCATTGATTAATATATATGATAAACTGATTTATCAAAGGTCGAGCATTTCATGTTATATGAGACTCTAGTCCAGTTCTGTCTAAAGAGGTAAGCAATTCTAATAAAACTGACAGATCCAGAGAATGTTTCAGTCTAGCTAATAGTATTGTGGAAAGTGCTTGGGTTAAGTAGTTCCGTTTAGAGTGCAGCCATGAAAGCTCGTG